GATTATCCTAGCAGAGCTAACTGCAATGAAATAACTTTAGGTCTTTTGTCATTTAGGAAAAAGGTAGTAATATGCAATAACTTTTTCCCTATAACTTAAGATATGTTAAATGCTTTTGATAACCACTGAAAAAGAAAGACAAACAGCATGAACCTCCCAAAAATGCTGGGGAAAAGGGTACAGATTCCAAGAACCTGAGGACTTACCTCAATAAATGTATAAAATGATGGGCAGAGAGCCAAATTTATCAGTAACCACAAATATACAAGCAGACAAAAATCTGTGTCAATCAGGATGCACAGAAAGGTAACTTAGCTATAGTTTTTTTAATATACCAAGTAAATATTTACCAAAAACAAGCTAATTAAATCACATTCTAAAAAAAAAGACAATAGTCTTTTTTTTTTCTCATTTTTTGGTACATTTTACTTAGGTATACAGTACAGTTACATTCATCATTGGGATCTTGTACTGTTACATGCTGTATCTCGGTTCTTATTTTTTTCCCTATAACCCTGCCCTACCTTCACCCCTCCACCCTTCCCTATTTATAAAGACTTTGTCCATTTTTTCCTTTTCTCATATTTTTTCTCTTCCCTCCTTTTCTTTCCCCTACCCTTCCCACTTTCTCTACTCCTTTAGCCCTTTTCTTCCTATTTCACATTATCAATTATACAATTTGAACCTTATTTACACTTTTAGTTTTTCACACCACAGAAACTATTCGGTATTCACACATGTCCTATTTATTTCTCTTAAGAGTATGGCCTCAATGTGCATTCATTTAGCTATAAATGTCTCTAGTTTTTTATTCTTTATGGCTGAGTAGTACTCCATTTAGTAGAAAAATCACATCTTTATCCAGTCTCCAGTTAATGGGCAACTAACTGGCTGTTTCCAAGTTTTAGCTGTTACAAACTAAAAGACAACAGTCTTTAAGAAAAAAGTGCACCACTAGAAATAAAAAGGGTCACTTCATAAGGATGAAAAACTTCATTCACCTGGATGTTAATAACACTAAACTTAGCGGAATTACCATTATAACCCAAATGTTAGTGTCTCCATCAAGTAGACAAAAGCCCCAAGAGATCAAATACAGAAAATAAATTTACAAGGATATGGATGCTGAGCATACACACACAATTAGAGAACATATTATTCTTTCAATGCACAGGAAGGACATCTGTGAAAAATGTCTCTTTGCTAGGTATAAAGTTCCTCAATAAGTTTCCAGGTACTGTACTGGTTATTAATGTGACTGACTCCCTTTTCACAATGCAATCAAGTTAGAAATCAAAAAGGTAAGCAGGAAAACCCTAAACTGTTTTTAAAAACTTAGCACTTCTGCTGACAGCTCATAGGTTAAAGACAATTCATTTAAAGTCTCAGAAGTATGAGGCTGATTCCAATTACTTTAAAACATAAGAATCACCAGTGGCACATGCCTGTAATCCAAGCTCTTCTGGAGGCTGAGACAGGAACATTGCAAATTCAAGGCCAGCCTGGGGAACTTAATCGAGATTGACTCTGTCTCAAAAAATAAAAAGGGTTGGAGATGTAGCTCAATGATACAGTACCTCTGGGTTTGATCCCCAGTACTACAAAACCGACCAATACACAAAAACCAATTTCTCATGCAACATTAGTAAACGAGTCACTGCATTAAAACAAAACAAAACAAAAAAAACTGCCAATACCTAAGCTGGAGTATAAATTTTACATAGTACATGGATACTTTCAAAAAGATGTTCACTAAAATACAATTTAAAGAACCAAAGCCAAGAGTTGGAGATTAAAGTTTACTTAACTTTCATATGTGAGTAATTTATCTGACTGATATATCTTCTTGCTCTTCCAAACTGTCACTGAGGATACAAAGGTAAGCAAATACTGAGTCCCCAGCCTACTGGGCTGATGACATTGTAAAGGAGACAGCCATTAGTCACAGAAACAAATGGAATAGGCACTTGAGACTAAGGAACTCATAATAGGAGTAAAAAGAAAGAATAAAAAGAAGGTACACAGGGAAGAGGGCACAGCACAGCAAACTCTAAAAAAGAAAGGAACAGGACATGCAAAGCCTCAAAGTTTTATGTGAACAATTAAAGTAACTATGATTTAATTTTCATATGATTAATATAAAAACAGCACAATTTAAAAAACTGAAAAATTCAATGCTTTCTAGTCTACTCCTTTAGTAAGAAATTATTTCATATTTCTGTCAGAAATTTTTTTCTTTTCTTTCTTTTTTTTTTTGGTACCAGGGATTGAATTTGGGACCTTATGCTTGTGAAAGGCAGGCAGTGGAACCCCTGAGCTAAATCCCAGACCTAGAAAATTTCTTTACTCTAATATGGTACATTCTTTTTAAGATACTTAAAATTGTTATACAAATATCGAATGATTTCTCCTACCATTTCAAAAAAACTATAAAAAAAAAATCAACCTTAATCCTTAAATCCTTAAGATTCTTTAGAACTTTCTATTCTTTTCTTTAAATAAAGAGTTTTTTTTGGGGGGGCCAGGGATTTAGCTCAGTGGTTCCACCACCGGCTTCACAAGCTTAAGGTCTGGTGTTCCATCCCTGGTACAAAAAAACAAAGAAGATGAAGAGGTTTTTGCTTAGGAGAAACTACAAAATGTACTTTCTAAACTGTTCTCACAAATCTGTTACACCACAGAACAGTCTTAAGGAATACACTAATTTCCCACCAGGATTTCTAACATCCCACACCTACTTAATTCAACCAAACTGTATAATACATATGTGTAACTTTAGATATTGGAGCTGGAAGGAAAAGTTAAAAAAAAAAAAAAAGGCATCAAGAACTCCAAGCAGCTTGTTATAATTATTATTCCTTATGTACCAAAAAAAAAAAAAGGAAAAAAAAAAAAAAAAAAAAAAAAAAAAAAAAAAAGTGTGATGTGGAAAATACAGTTAAGTAGATATGGATTAGCTGGAATTAATTATTTTATGTTTTTTTTGACATATATAGAAAAAGGTCTTTCTGAATACTTGACGTTTTGAATGGAACTTAATTTACTCAAATTCACAATAGAACTCTGTCAAAATATAGCCTTCAAAAAAGGCTTACAATAGGTGCTCAGCAGCACCTGACTGGCAAGCTCAAGGTCCTGAGTTCAATCCCCCATACCCCCAAAAAAGGCTTACAACAGAGATCAAGACTACATGCTCTTTTTAATCTTCTCTGTATTTGTTAAATGAGAGGAGACGTTCAGAGCAGTGTATACACTTAAACTGAATTTAGTTTTTACTGTGGAAAGAAGATAAATTTTCTTAAATACACAGTTTCTGAGTAACTGTCTTAAGCAGGGAAGAAATGCCCAATTAAAATATACCTAAAAGTTTTTTTCTATTGTGATTCAACCAAGAGTTCTAAAATTATGATAGAGATAATCGCAGTTTCAAGAAAACATGCAAGAACTATGAATCAGAAAACTGGATCTGAAGAACTAAAGCCCTTCTCTGGTAAATTCATGGGAAACCAAGCACTACCTAAAATATCCAGAAATATCCAGATACTGAATTTATTTACAATCACCTAATGTTTATAAGCAAGAGCCAGAGTGCCATTAAAATTTTCTTAAAAGTTTGTCATCATTACTAAGTATATTCCCCCCACCTACCCAATCAAGGAAAGGAAAAAAATCAAACTTCTTAGATTTAGGGGCATGAATGGATGATTGAAAGAAGTAACAGTAGCTCACTCTCTGGGAACAATTAAGAAATGAGACTTTGACCTAATGCAAGAACACCAGGAAATAGGAAAACCGGAAAACTGAGGAAGTGTCCTCTTTTACTAAGTGCTTCATTGCTGCTCTTTTTCTTCAAATGGCAATGGTTTATCACACCGTGAACAAGGAAAACAGCACTATGTGAACTGTGCTTAGAAAGCCAAGAGACACCAAAAGTTGTCTACTGGAATATGCCTTCAGAGTAGCACAGATAACAAAGTAGGAAGTACTTATATGCTATAAAGCTGTGTTCAGTGAGGGCACACACATCAACTCAAGTTCAATACAAGAATGACTGTCCCTTCCAATTTGGTGAAAAAAATTGGGTTCAGGTTTCAAATTTCCATAACGTATACCTGTACCAGTAGCCAAGCTGTATTCTACCTAAAGTACACAAATATGCCTTAAAAGATCAGAGTGGAAAACAGCACACAACTGGAAGTCATGGAATAGGTCTCTCTTCACAAATTGTCTAAATTTGCAAGAAGACTGCAATAGAATGTGAAATTGGTGACTTCTTGAACAAACCTCAAAATCCAATTCTTTTATAAATCTTTGGCCTGAGTTGTCTTATTTTTGAAAGGTCAACAAAAAATCAACATATGTTAAAAAGGTGGCAAGTTCTATTACGCCTAATAAAACCGGGAAAGCACAGCCAAAATATTTTAACGAGAAGGTAATTAATTATATCAGCGACAGCAGCAAGATTCCCTGGAGGAGACTTGCTTCATTTCTGTATAAACACTGTACTTCAGAGCCAGAGCACAAAATTTACCTGAACACCAACTTTAACAGATGAAACTGAAGACAATTCTGATCTTTGAAAGGAATTTCAAATTTCTTATAAATTTTCTAAATTATCCCTTCGCCAAAAACAGAACACCCACCATCACCATCAACGAAAGAACGACGGCTTTCACCAACCCAAAGTACTGCAGCTTAGAGATTTCAAAAATAAATATGGAAAAGAATGTTGGTGTTTATATAAGTGAGATTTTAAAAACTATGTGCACAAGTAAACCCAAAGCTCACACCACATCACTGATCAATAGCTTACTGATGGCGACTCCTACGCCAGGTCATTTCCCAGTGACTACTTTAATTAAGTAACTGAGGAAAACACCCAAGAAAAGGAACAGGGGAAGGCAGCTCTTACGAACTCAGCTGAACTCAGCCACCCAAGAACGACTGCTAATTTCACAAACAATAACATAAAATAAGTAACACAACATTTGGCCAATTACCAAGCAGAAGTCAAAGTTCCACAACGTAATTCGGGCCTGGGCCTTTTTTTTTTCCCCTCAAGAAAACACGTAACCGAAAGCACAAGTCATTTCCCTCTTGATATTTTAATCACGCCGACAAAACCATTCAAACTGAAAAGGTAGCAAAACAAAAGGAAAAAAAAAAAAAGTGAAG